TCTTCCAGGGATCTTCAAAGTCACCGTCACCTGCATTTGATGATGCTGCCGAAGTGGATACTTCCGATTGAGGCAAACTCTTTGCTCCTTTGAGGAACTGCCCAGCCAAGACCGTCGGATGAGTGGTCTTTTTGGCGTCGATCCACTTGATCAAGATTGGGTTTCCGTTCCATTGAGTGAAAACATCATCAAATTTCCTTTCAGCGACACACAACCAGCATGTACCTGAGAGAGCTCTGATAGGTTTTGCGTCCCAACCCTGAATTTGCAACCATTCCAAGACTTGGGATGATGTTGATCCAAGCGGTGTCGGTGCGATCTTGAAGTGATGGTTTGCAATGACCAAGGTCGGTGGCTTTTCATCTGGCTTGAGGTTGGCAAATGCTGTCAAGTAATCTGCCTTGTCAAAACGAATGCCTTTGCTTTTTCCATCAGCACGGCTTCCACGAACAACACCACAGTGATTGTCGACCTTTGAAAGGCTAACTGCAAAGTCAACAGTAGATTCATTCATCCAAATGACCTGAAAATCACTGAGCACCTTGTGGTCCTCAGTCTTCGGAATGGTGTAAATGCCTGCACTGCCTGAGGATTTAAGGAATTTTCTGAGCTCATCTTTGCTGATTCTCACATGACACTGAACGGATGTTGCAAGATTGGGTTGAACCTTCTTGCCGGCTCTCTGAAAGGAACGTCCCCATGGCGGAGCAAGCAACTCAACTGTCTCAGCATCCCCCAGAAGCAATTTCATCATCATTTTGACTGGAGATTTAAGGAGAATATCCCAGTCGGTTTCATGGATTTCGTCTCTGAATGCTGTCATGGCTACAACCTGAGACTCCGTGATGGGAATGTCGTCCTGTTCGGAACCCGTGTACACTGCTTTCTTTGCCCCAAGGTGATGCATGCAGCCTGAAACAACCAGAGGTTCATCATTCAAGCGTACCGGAAGCTGCACAGGATTACATTCACATTTGTTGGGATGAAGGCATGTGCCTACGATCACAACCGACATCTCATCTTGGGAAATTGGGGTGCCCCGTTCAATCCAAGGTCTTGCCGTGTCATACGAAAGCAGGACAACTCCTGAGGAATTTGGCGTGATCTTTTGGAGCTGTTGGGACTCCGTCTCATCAGTGTTCTTGATGCATCCAGGTTGAAGTACCAGGGCTTCGATGGGCATGTTGTCAAAAAATTCTTTGGCATGGTTTTTGAACTTCTGATGCACTCTCTGTCTGGCTTTCTCGACTTTGTCTACTACCGGTGGCATGGCTATATTCAAGGCCGATGCAAGCTTCAGGAGGGCTTCCCACTTTTTGCCTGGGAACTTCAAACTGAGGATCGATCCGATAGCTTCCGGACCTGATCCCTTCAAGAGCGAATCGATGAAGGGCACGCACGTGGTGATGTCAACGCCTTGGCTGATCAGGAATGATGCAAGATTGTTCCTTTGACGAATCTGGAAGTCATGGGCATTCATTGGATTCACATCAGTTGGGCCACCACCATGAGTGGGTCTCATGAAAGAAACCTGCGCAACCGTCATGTCATCCGGACCACACCTGCCAAAGTACCTCAACGGGAGATCAGGGTTGACAAGACCTACATGACTCACGAGCCGGATGTCAGAAGGATCATCGCAAATGGTCGAAGCTTGGTCCCAAGTGTCCAGCAGTTGTTGCATTGGGAAATTCCTCTCCAGTTTCGCATGGAAGATCGTGACACCATGGAGCTTGATTTTTGTTTTGATGGCATCTGGTAAGTCATCCTGTGGTCTTGGCATGCCGAGGTAAATCAAAGCTGCTTTCAGGAAATCACGCAAGAAGTCCATGGATGTTGAAGCGACCATCGGCTTTCGAAAGAAAATGATCTGAGCATGAACAGGTTCAAACACTGCGGTGAAATGGCATGCCATCATCCAACCTGCAAATGCAAGCGTTCTTTCAGTTCCCGAGACTTTGATCAGGTGCATAAATTCACGGAGCTTCTCGAAACTACCCTGAATGCAAAGGAGGCCATCAAGTACGGTTGCTTCAAGTTCCAGGAATACCGAAATGTCTGCCCTCTTGATGGGTGCTGGGAATTCCACAAGGCGACCAAGGAGATAAGCCAATGCAGCTTCTGGATTGCTCGCCTCAAAATCGGCCATATCCCTCAGATTTCCAGAGGTTTCTGAATTGCGGATTTGGGATGTGGAACAAAGCTGGGCAGGACCTCCTCCACGAAGCCCATGTATCATGAAGATCTTCAGGTGAGATCCCCCTGATTCATCTTCGGTGACATATCCTGACAAAGGCCACTCCGGGTTCACTGTGTGGTTGTTGATGACGTATCGCCACGGTCTGGTGACATTGAACCATCCTGAGATCCTTTCCCACTCCTGATCAAATCGCAACATCGATACTGTAGGATCAACAAGGCCATCCCAAATCCAAGCATGCCAGAGCTTAACCCTGCATCTGATGTTGGGCTCCCTTCCAATCTCTTGCCAGTTTCGGATGCGAATCAGGAAAAGGTGGATTGCCAAGCAAAACCGCAAGTCATCATGAGTCAAAGAGAAGGCTCCAGGTTTCTGCATGAGTCGAATGCATCCTATGTTTCTGTCAACAAGAAAATCTGCCGAGATCATGAAAGTCCATCCCAGTGCACCAAGGATCTGGTCCAAAGCGGTCTCATGGATCAACTGTGCAAACTCACGCAAGGCAGCGTCAGATGCGAAAAATTTGATTTCACCGTCTTCCAGGTCCAAACGTATGTAATCAAATCTCTGCAGTGTGTCCGAGGATCCTTCAACATCCAACGATATCACAGCGTCTGGGCAGATCATCTCAGGCGGATGTTTTTCTCCAAAGGCCCCTACAAGATGCGTGGTTCGAATGGACAACTGGTGATTCAGTGTGTTGAGGACATCCTGAATGGTCATGCCACTGTCTCTTCTCAGTGCAAATGTTCCATGACATGTCAAGACAATGATGCAGGAAGATTGATTTGAGCGTTCAGAAAAAGATCCTGAGTCTGTCCTGAGTGCGCATGAGACGTTTGCAAACAACCTGACATCGCAATCATCCACCTCAAATCTGGAAGGCAAGTTCACTTTGGCATCATGTATCCCTCCTGGCAGAAGGAAAACTGTCGTGGGCATGGAGTCTTCTGCCAAAAGCTTCAGGGCATCTTTGATGACAACTCCTTTTTCCGCATGAAAGGCAAAGGCATTCACAGGGGATTCCATGGTGATCTTCTGGTATGTATGCATGAGCATGGTTGGTGCGACCTCGTCACTGCGTTCAAATGACATGCCCCCCCATTTGGCCTCCCATCTGATGTTCTGACATGTCATGCGTGCTGAGATTGCTTCTTTGTACAAGTCTTGAACTTCCCAAAAGGACAAAGGAGTCAGGAAGGCCAGAGCGTTGCACACTGCGATCATAGCATGTGGCACTGAAATTGCGTTGCCTAACAACCGCATTGAGGCACGATGATCATTGGGTAGCCAAAGTGGCATCACGGCTGTCATGGAGATAATGATCTCTGGGATTGTCATGAATCTCAATGCATCAGGTCTGCAAACAAGCGTCCCAAACAAGCCAAACGATGAAAGCACTGACGAAGGGAGCAAATGACCAAAGGAATAATTTCCCATCACGCACCCAAAGGAGCTCTGTGGAAATCGAATGCGGTACTGCTCAACATCAATCCGGCTCTTTTTCAAAGGATTGGCTTTGGCATTGGGGTTCTTTGGCAACAAGTTTGGATCCAAGTATTGCTTCAAAACAATTGGGTCAATCAGACATTGGGACTTCCAAGGCTCCACCAAAGGCATCAAATTGGAATACGATTCCATGGTATGCCTCTCAAGCTTCGGCCAACCTGTGCAAAGGTGTGGTTGTGTGTCTGCATCCTCATGCGATGCGATGAGGATCAGCCTGTCTCTGTACTGAGGTGCCACATCACTCATGTTGAGAACCCTTGCATAACGGATTGCAAAACCACACCACTCAATGAACCTTTTGAGGAGAGGCCACTGCTCGTGCTGTTTCATGTTTCCCACATTCTCTAACAACACCAGTTTCGGTTTGATCAAATGGCACAGTCCCCAGCTCTGAATGGTCAAGCGGCCGTCTGCCTTGTACAATCCCTCACATGTGGACGCCAAGCTCCACGGTGGACATGGAGGGGATTTGATGACCATGTCAAAACCTGTGATGGACATGAGATGATACCATTCTGGTGAGAGGATACTGTCTTGTACAAAGATGTGCTCAGGCAGAAATTCATCAGTGAGACCATAGTTGCCCTTGGACAATACCGTAGGAAATCCATGTGATCGTGCATATGTTTCAGCTGCTATCTCATCTGAATCCACGGCAAGCAAATGTCTGAACTCATATCCCAACTCACTGAGACGTCTAAGTGATTGAGTCCAGCCAGAAAAGCCACCAGAAAAGAATTCTGCTGTCACATAGCTATCATCTCCTGTTGAAAATGCACGTCGATCTGGATCTGCCAGTACTCCGGAGCCTTGGGATGATGTGTCCAGAGTTGTCATGGACCTTTTGGCCTTCACAGCAATGAAAGTCCGTCCTTTCGATACCACCTGTTCCCATTGCGACATGGATACCGTCACTCTCCAATGCAAGTCCTGGTCATGAGCACACCTCTTCGGCATGAAAGAGTAGTCACCAAATCCTGTCTTGACTGCCGATCCTGTCAACCTGAGAACTGCATCGAAAGTCACATGATTGGCACCCATCGTGATCGAGTCCGATCTTTCCAACAGGACTGTGTGCCTGTCTGAGCATGGACAGATGTAGGTAGCGCATGAGAACTCCTTTGCAACTTCAATGCAGTGATGGAAAGCATTCATAGGGATTGGTAACGGCATGGCCCAATTGGTTGTGTTGTGCGCCACAACACGTTCCAGCCCAACCGCGTGGAGGTTTGAGCCAGTGAGCTATCCAACTTTTGACCAGGGCACATATACATCCCCTTGCCCATCCAGCCTCTGCACTCCTCAGCAAAAGCATCAAGTCTTGGGTTTTTATGATCAAAGATTATAAATATGGAACTTTGAATGACTTTGACCAGTAGAACTAAGGACATTATCATGTAAACATGAAGACTTGAACCAATAACATATGAATACCTTACCCTCTAATTATTCAAGAATTCGCGACAATCGAAAATCATCATGTCTTAATAAATATGTTGAATGGTTAAGGCAAGTATTCATGGGCCATTGTCCATAGCATTCCATAGCTAAGTTGATTAATTGCCACAAAGTTTTTCGAGAAGTATGCAAAAAAAATAAAAAACCTCATAAGTTGGGATAGAAATGGATAGAACCGATGTAACCTGTATCATTGTGGCCATGTTTTTTTACCACTTCTGAATCGTAGAACTCCCAAGATTCCACCCTCTGAGGCTCACTGCTGCGACACTGCCACCAGTGCCTGGGCGCAAGTGTAGAAAGCTGTTGGGACATGTTGTGTTTTAATATGTTTTAATGCCATATCTAAACAATGTGGAAGACCCACAGATGTTATCAAATGGTGCCGTGTTCTGAATTGCAGGGTCCAATTCTGGAGTTAATCATTTTGCACGCCATAGGTCTAAAAAACATTAAAAAACTACTTCAATTTGCCTTTTGCAAGCAAATAAAAGCAAAATGGGAGCAGTTTCGGCTAGTCTCTGCAGCTCTTTTTGTGGGTTCACGGGTTCACTTAGACCTACAAAGTGGCCCCAGTTTAAAGAACCCGACAGATAGCCTCGTTCGTTTTACCAAGGTTACCTTTAGTGGGTAATAAGTAATAAGTAATATTCGTATTTTTTGGTTGGAGGTACAGTGCTCCATTTTGGTTGTTTAAACCAACACTCACCTATCTGTTGTGGGGATATGTTGTGCAAATATTATGATACATGATATCCATTATGATTGGTAAGTCCACCATGTTTGATATGTTTGATGATTAGTTTACCATATGGCAGTGTGTCAAAACCTTGTACCCCTAGTGAACCCCAAAATAGCTGGTAAATGGATGTTCATCCCCCTAAAAATGGTATTAATAGGTATTGATCCATACCCATATCTTCAAATCAAGTGGTATACCCAGACGAACAGTTGAACGTTCCAAGAGCCGAGCCAATTCGCTATCCTCTGTCGGTGCCACCACTTCTGGTCAGGTCGGGGGAAATGATAGAAATCCCCAGATCAGAAGCGGATTTTTTTGCCAAATTCCAGTGGAAAAATCATCAACATCTCACGTTGGCAGCGGAATTGTGGTCGTTTGCAATGGAAAAATCATGATTCCAAGATATTCCAAGTCCATTTTGGAGGGTTTAGAGGCTTCATCTGGGTACATGACTATATGTTCGGTTCATGTTGGTTCTATATGTTCTTTGCGTTGACTGGTTGGTGACCTTTGAACGACCTAACCATGGCGGGTTGGCGGATTTTCAAGGCATGTGACTGACTGCAGGAGGGTAGTCTGATGTACTGTAGATTGACAATTAAACTATATATTATATAACAGACTACATCAGACTACATCGGACTACATCAGACTACATCAGACTACATCGGACTACATCAGACTACATCAGACTACATCGGACTACATCAGACTACATCAGACTACATCGGACTACATCAGACTACATCAGACTACATCAGACTACATCAGACTCGACATCAGACTACATCAGACTACATCAGACTCACGGACTACATCGGACTACATCAGACTACATCAGACTACATCTGACTACATCAGACTACATCTGACTACATCAGACTACATCAGACTACATCAGGCTACATCTGACTGCATCGGACTACATCAGACTACATCAGACTACATCAGACTACATCAGACTACATCAGACTACATCAGACTACATCAGACTACATCGGACTACATCGGACTACATCGGACTACATCGGACTACATCGGACTACATCGGACTACATCGGACTACATCGGACTACATCGGACTACATCGGACTACATCGGACTACATCGGACTACATCGGACTACATCAGACTACATCAGACTACATCAGACTACATCAGACTACATCAGACTACATCAGACTACATCAGACTACATCAGACTACATCAGACTACATCAGACTACATCAGACTACATCGGACTACATCGGACTACATCAGACTACATCAGACTACATCAGACTACATCAGACTACATCAGACTACATCAGACTACATCAGACTACATCAGACTACATCGGACTACATCGGACTACATCAGACTACATCAGACTACATCAGACTACATCAGACTACATCAGACTACATCAGACTACATCAGACTACATCGGACTACATCGGACTACATCAGACTACATCAGACTACATCAGACTACATCAGACTACATCGGACTACATCGGACTACATCAGACTACATCAGACTACATCAGACTACATCAGACTACATCAAACTACATCAGACTACATCGGACTACATCGGACTACATCAGACTACATCAAACTACATCAGACT